GAGTCTGCAAGATCAGGATATATATATATATATATATCTAGATATCTATATAGATCTACACTGTATATAGATATCTAGATAAATATATATATATATATATATACACACATACTATTTCTCCCTATGTGTACTTGATGCCAAATTCTTTTATGAAATACAGGTTTCAGCTTTTTGCAGCAGTGTGAACATTAAAATGTGAAATCTCTGCCTTCCAGTTCATGTGAAATTGGTAATTGTGGAAAGAAGAGACCATTATACTTCTTGGAAGGGTATTAGGTCTTCAGATTAGAAAAAAAGGAAAAACTGTAGTGTTTTCATTTGCTCTTCAAGAAGAACTCCAATTTTTTCACATTAATCCTTACAGTGGGGCTTCTTCTGCACTGCAAGGGTTAAGTGCTTGTTTTGGTCTATGGGCTAATCAAAGAAGATACACCTGATCCTCTGTGTTACAGCAGTCAACGCTCATTTCTTTTTCCCTTCGCTCTGGCTGTAGTATGTCCCTCCGCGTCCTCACGTACATTTAGTAATGTACCTGCAGTAGATGTGATGACATCAGGGGTCCTTAGACTGCCAGAGCCCAGTGGAGAATAGGCTGTGGGGACCAGTCTAGCAGTCACGAAGGACTGAGAATCAGGTGAGTATATTTTCTTTATTTTTGCCCTTGGACCAAAACAGGTACTTGCAGTGTGGGAGTAGCCCCTACTGCAGAGAAAAACCCTGGAGTTATTTGTTAAGGAATACCTTTATTGAATGATCTATGTAGGCTGCCAATGCTGACCTCCTTTGGAATATGGTAGTCCCTTGGCTGTCTCTGACTCAGTTACTGACCAAGTATGACGCAAAAAAAGTCAAATTCAAACAGCTGATCTCCATTCTTGGTCCAGCTCAGTTTTTCAGAAAGTTCTGAAGCCACTGGATTAGCACAACCAACAAAATAGCATTGTTAGAAGAGGAAACAATTGCTCTTGTCACCTTCAAAAGTAGTCCTCTTATGAAGCGACACATTTTTCTAGACAACAGTGCCACTGCTGGAAACATTCCTGGAATTCTTTTTCCAGAATGCTGCGCAGTATCTTTGTCGCAGAGCGCTAAATGTCATCAAATCTGTGTTCTTTAAGGCATTTTCTAAATTTCGGAAACAGCTAAAATCCGCAGGGTCCCAAGTCAGTGGAAAAAGGTGGTTGGTCAAGTTTCGGAATGGATTTCTGCGCCAGGAACTCGTGAATGATTAACGCATCATGTATAGGAGCATTGTCGTGGTGGAGAATCCATTTGTCAGGCCAGAGTTTTGGTACTTTCCTCCGAAACAGATTCCCGTAACCTTTTCGGAAATTCCAAGTAACAATTTTGTTTGTGTTTTTGGCTGCACACTTATTGCGTCATCATGGACATCTTCCCGTCCCTCCTTAAACTGCCTATGACATTCAGAAACACCTGATTTCTTTATGAAATATTCACCATAAGTCTGTTGTAACAGAGCTAAAGTTTTGCTCGCACTTTTGCCAATTTCCACGCAACATTTGATCTTAATCCGCTGCTCCAGATTCTTGTCACTTATTTACCACCAACAGCGCAACGCACACACGTTATTTCTTCTACTACTCCGTAAGGACTGAGTCAACTGGTCTGCGGCCCAGGGAAGTTAGAACATGTCAGAACACGCTTGAGTGCAATTAGCTGTGTGATTCACCACCATACTGATACGACTTGGCCATTCCTGGAATTAAATTGTCACATCTCGAAAGATAAATATTGGTACTCATACTCGATAGCGAAAAACTGGTACTGGTGCATGCCTATTGTTTACCTTTTGTTGCAACAGGATAGAAAAAAAGCAGCATAGAATCAATGCATCCATTATCTACAGTACATATAAATCCATTCAGCCATAAAACATTTAAAGTAAAGAACAAAGGAAGCAGGAGTCCCAAGTATATGCATCCCATCTTGCAACTGCCTCTGGAAGTCATGCCAGTGGCTGTCAGAGTCTTGCATTGAATATATGGTGGGAAACACAGTGAGGTATGTAGTTCCTGCAAGTGGTAGTAAGCTAACAACCCCAGACAGAGCATTCAGTAGCAGCAGCACATAACTTGAAGTCCCGCCATGCCACCCAACACCTTACAGCAAATGAATTACTATTCGCTGCCTTTCCTTTGGCTTGTAGACATTGGGGAAGGCACGTTGAGTGCCATGGTGCCGAGTTGTAGCTGAAATGAAGGCCATGTTGAATATGGATGTGGGGGGCACTTGAGCAAACCAAAGGTGGAGTAATAACAAAGGTTCTTTTTGGTGCCAATCTAATGCCGTAATGTCAGCCATGAAAACTATGTAAAACGTTCACTTTAAGTTAAAGTCCTGCTGCAAAAATCAATAAACCTGAAGTACTATGATAAATCCCTTTTAATATTCCAAAAATAGAACATTGCCTTTATCTTAATTTCACATGTTTTCCCTTCCGAAGAGCTCACTTTTTTTTACTCAACACATCTTACAATGGTTTTGCATAAGAAAGAACCCTGCACTGTAAATCAGTAAAACAAAAAAGGGAGGAGGGGGGGCCAGCAATGATTCTTTTAATACATCTCCAGGCGCTGAATCCTCTGTGATCTTTGTTTACTAAAATAAGCTAACTATAATTGGGAGCGTTTCACTTGTGAATATAAAAGCGCTTTATTTCCAGGAAAATTTCAGAGATGTGCAGAAGGGTGAACGTAACCAGCACAAAGCAAGGGATTGCTCAAACTTATAAATGATTATTAATTCAACAGGCTGCAAATCGGCTTTATGATGGCTTATTGTGATAACTAGGACATACATAATTATTCCTGATTTTATGCAGCACGCGCCATATCTGCGGGGCTCTATATCAGAAACACATACATGTCATGAGTGAAATAGTCCCCAGGCTTTAACAAAGAAACACATAGCTCAGGCCCAAAGGGTGAGGAATGTTTTGTTTCAGGACGGATTAAATACAGGGTGCGGGCCAAATGCTTATACCATAATGTATGTGCATATCATAAAAGGTTTTTTTTTAAATTTCTTTACAGGAAATTTATTTTTACAGAAAATAAAACAGTTACAGTACAATAGCAACAAAACAATAATTCAGCACGAATAATAACATACGGTTTCCATTTTTTCATTCTTAGTCAGATTTGTTTCAAATATATAATATAGAGAATAAATGAACGGTGGTGGCAACACATGAGCGTTAAATGCCCAATGTTGTTTGTTTACATTCGTCGCTTTAAGCAGCCCATAAAAAATCCACAATGCACAAACATACATTCACCTTTTTTAATGCAGTGCACCACAACACACAGAGGTTCACATCTGCGCTTTGTTTTGCTCTTCAACACAAGTGTGTTATAGCAAATTGTCTAGGTCAGGGGTAGAGAAACTCAGGCCACCGGGTTAAGGGGGAAACTATCTAGAGCAGGAGTAGGCAAACTTTGTCCCTCCAGCTGTGGTGCTACTACAAATCCCATTAGTCATTGGAAGACTCTGACAGTCACAGGCATGACTTCCAGAGGCAGATGCAAGATGGGATTGTAGCTTCACCACAGCTGGGGGGCCAAAGTGTGACTACTACTGATCTAGATTTTTTTCATCTCAACTTGGTGACCACGTCTTTTGCGAAATTCACTGTCTCTGTCAACCATTGTCTCTTCACTCAAAGCACTTGTGATCATGTGCCAGTTAAAGTGAACCTGTCCACCAAAGTGCATATACTACCATAAATGATGGGCACTTTGTGGTGCCGGAGTGCTAGTCTTCAAATCCATTGCTTTGTGTCTGGGGAAGACTTGGGTACTAGGCCCAGGTTGTATACAGTTTACACAATTGAGTGTAACTAAGATTAAGCCTAATCTCATACATGGAAAATACAGGAAAAGATTAAAGCCTATCTAAACCCAAACCATTTTTCTAATATTGCAGTTTACCAATACATATGATGTCCAAGGGTGGCTCCATTGCTCCTTCATAGAGTAGAATAGAATCAAGTGGAGCCACCCTAAGACAGGAAGTGTGTTATTGACTGGATCACCAGGTGAAAATTAGGGAAAAAAGACTAAACAAAACTAATGCAGCCCCCACATTTAGGAATCGGTAAGGGTTTTGGGGTTTAGATACTCTTTAAGGCCATTTTGTGACCATTTTAAAGGGTCATCATGCTGCTAACAAGATCAAGAAGTAGATTGATTAGCTTCTGAACACCATTATGGCCACCACCACAGTCTAGTTATACATGATTGCCCTCATGCCCCCTGCGTCGTATGGCTACAACATAATAGTTTGGTTTTAGTTTACATATGGAAAGCTAGGAAAAGAACAAATATATGAAAATGATAGAGATTTTATCACATTTATTAATATAAAAATGGTGTTTCACAAATACACCAGCTAGCTCTTACTTGGTGAGATTTTTGCTGTTGCTTTTGTGCAATCATGTAATGGAGGTATAGTTTCTGACAATGTTACATTCTTATCAGCTGACACATCATGTCAATTTCTCCACTTTCATGGTTTAATAAGGCCAAGACTATTAGATCATTAGTTGGTTTTAATTATTTAGAGATCCAGTCCCATACCCTCATCATTAGGTTCTTATACTACCAAGGGGTATGGATCACCCCAGTTAAGGACCCCTAAGTTATATTGATAGTAAGTAGCCAAGAAGTAGTCTACCTGCCTGCTGAGATCAGAGGTGGAGGTGTTGCCCATAACAATCAATCAAAGCTTTGTTTATATTGTCCAACCTGGACTATTAGAATGAAAGTTGAACTTTGTTGGTCTCAAAGTGCAGCGGCTCCTTGTTCTAATTATTATTTTTTCTTGTTAAATAAATCATACACAATCTTTTGCTAAGTCATTCACATAAAAATTAGCCTAGCCACTGTCAGAAACGTTGGTTAATCAATACTTTGCAACATCAACATGTCAATCCACCATATTTTGGCAAAGGCAAATATGCTTTATGAAAGAGTTCTTACCCGGAAACGGACTTTCCCATTTGTGCTCGTCTGCAAGAACAGGCGGTGAGGTCCATTCCAGTTTCCATACACAATATCTACCTTTCCATCCCTATTAAAGTCTGCTAATGCAACACCACGACCATGCTGATAGGTGTCATCCACCCCTGAGAGAAAACATAATTCAAACACAAAAAGGTGTCACAAAGTGTATTGGTTAATACAAAATAGAGCGGCAAGGCAGTTTTATTTTACAATTTCTGCAGAATTACTGAATGCTTTTATTCTTTTCATCAGGATGAGAAAACATTGTGTTAGTTACAGTTGCTGTAAGAGATATGCTTTGAGATAAGCAAGAACTATGCTACAAAAAGTTTGTACCTTAAACAACCATATACAGTAACTCGTATAATTTTAAGTAAAACTACAAATATCTGCTGTATATATAAAAACAGTCTCAGAGATAGCCACGACACTCTGTAAGGTAAATGCCCCGGTGCACATCCACAAAAATATCCATACAAATCCAAAATAGATGGACTGAGCTCCGTTGGCAATAAAGTGCTAATGCAATGACTTACC